CCTGTGCCAACCTAGCCATCTCAAACGCACTTATTCCCACCGCTCCAGTCACAGAATCGATCCATCTCACCAAAGGTCTTCCTCTCCTTCGCTTCCCCTCCACTCTGCCAAACATGATGTCCCTTTCCAAGGACCAGTCCCTCCTTGCAACATGCCCAAAATATGTCAGACGAAGCTTCAGAATCCTTGACTCCAGGGATGGAACTTTAAAAGCCTAGCTTCCGAGGAGAAACTTGTTTTCACCCTCTCAAAGACAGACCTGTTTGTTCTCCTGGCAGTCCACAGTATGTTCAAGACTCTTCTGCAGCACCACAATTCAAAGGCATCAATTCTCTTTCTATCATCCCTCATCATCATTCAGCTTACTGACGCATAGCAAACAATTACAAAGACCATGGCCTGGATCACGCGCACTTTAATCTCTAGATGCATTTTAGTACTCTAGAGAGGTCCCTGACAGCATATTTTCCCAATGTAGCTTGTCTTTTGATTTCCTGACTGCTGGTGTTTAAAGTGTTGATTGTGGAGATGAGCAAGCTCTAATTGTTAACAACCTCTATTTCTTCTTCATCTATCATGATGCTGCCAATCAGCCCAGTGGTGAGAATCTTTGTTTTTTTGATGTTGAGCATCAACCCATATTGAAGGCAGAGTCCTTGATTTTCTGCAACAAGTACTTTAGGTCCTCTTCTGTTTCAGGAAGCAAGGTTGTGTCATCTATATAACATAGTTTGCTGGTGAGACTTCCTCCAACCCTGATGCCACATTCCTCTTCACACAGTCCAGCCTCCTGGGTGATCTGTTCTGCATATAGATTGAAAAGGTATGGAGACAGGATACATTCCTGGTGTACACCCTTCCGCTTTTGAACCATGCAGTGTTTTCTTGCTGTGTTCTGACTACTGCCTTCTGGTCTAAGTATAGGTTTTACACAAGCACAATCAAGTGTTCTGTGATTCCCATTCTCCTCAGAGTCAGCCACAGTTTGTTGCCAAATGCCTTTGCATAGTCAATGAAACACAGACATTCCTCTGGTACTCTCTGCTTTCAGCCAAGATCCATCTAACATTAGCTGTAATATCGCTAGTACCATAGCTTCTTCTAAACCCAGCCTATACATCTAGCAGTTCTCTGTTGATGTTCTGCTCCAGTCGCTTCTGGATAATTTTCAGATTCTATTATGAATAGTAGGGCACATATTTAACTCTCAATAAATATTCATTCTTGTCCTGTTATCATCAATTCATCAACATTAGATCATTGCTCTGAGCTGTCAAAAAATCTTGTCCATCCAAAATGTGTGCAGAACTCCCTCATACATACATTGTGGTGTGTATAAAGAAATAATGTATGTGTGTCTTTTTAAGGGAAAACTTACACAAAATGTAAATATGTATTTTATAAGAGCTTTACCTTTTGGCAGACTTAAAATGCATTCAAAGCAATGACTTGGGTCATTGGATCCAAACCCATGAGGAAGATATGTCCCCTGAGGAAGATACAAACAATAGCCATCCAGCTTTCCATGCACTGAGTCAAAATGTTGGGAAACCATGAAAATATTGGGCAGCCTGGAAGAGAGTTTTAAAGACACACTGAAATAATCCTACCCTGGACAAGATTAGGTTCAAACACTGCTTCTGACAGTTAGGTGCTGTAGCATCTTCTGCAAACTACTTGGCCTGAGTCTCAAGTCCCCATTCTTCTAGAAAGGAAGGAAGAACTGAAGGAGAGTAACAAAGATTATACTCCTTCAAAATGTGTTGG